ATAGCTGCTCCTAATGTCAGCACTTGCACTGGTACATGGAAGATGCTCTTACTGGCCTGGCCAGGAGGAAGGAACCGGAGTGTTGCTAACTCAGAGGAAAATGAACGGCGGTCAATGGGTGCATTTTAGAATGCAACAACCCAGAGACGTCCTTTTAACCTTTTTTGCACAGTTACAGCTAGACAACACCGCGTACAAATTACATAACAAATCAAAGAGTTTGATCTCGCAACTTTGATTGCCGTTTGTACTTGAAATCCAATGTTCAAAGTATTAACTCCCAGAATTTGGATTCTTTGCTAAAATAAATCACTAAATTCTCCACAATGGCCAAATGTGCTCTTCCTGAAGAGGCTGATACAGAGCCTGAGACAGTGCATTGTGAGATAAATATATTTATACCTATATATGTGTATATACATATATATGTGCATGTGACTATATCTTTATATGTATTTACTGACGTTACCCCTGCTGCTGCGGTTCAAAAATTGATTAAAAAGTAAATTTATACACCGAACAGTAGTAATAACCCATCCACTCAATCCACTGTCAGTGAAGGTGCAGAATTGTAGATCACCAAGTCGAAGAGCAGGCTTTAATTTGAAACTTGCCCCACTAGCACTGGTGAGAAGGCTTTACAAAAACCCTCCAGTTCTGCTGTATATCCTAACCTGCTAATTAAATAATTTAACCCTCTAGGATTCTTCAGAACTGCTTTAGAAGAATGCTAACTTACTTAGGAGGAGAATCAGAACTGAAAACACAGATTGAAAACCTTTGGATATATTGGCAGATGATGCTGAGATCCAAGCACAAAGAAGTAAACTGAGAAATCTTGCCAAATACAACAGAAAGCATTTGCCAAAACACAAGGGTGGCTCTTTACAGCAAGAATCTATCGGATTATTACGTACTGTCAGAATTACGGAAGCATCAACACCCTTTGGCTCAGGTTACTCTCCTTAACTGGACAGGGCCAAATGAAACAGAAACCAGCTTTGAGGAAAGCAAATCAGAGAATGCTTTTGGGGGAAGAATAGATTTATTCTGTTTTAAAAATGGACTGGGATCTGATTAACAGGTATCTGTTAGTATAACAAATTGGAACGTCATTTATATGTTCATAGATGTGTTATACATACCTGTATAAAATAATCAGAATTGTGCTGTTAGATATACGTTGAAGAGCTAAGTTCTGATCATTTAATGAAAAATTCACAGTTAACAACATTTCTTTATATAACTCATGATAAGGTTATCCTTTATTTTAATTCCCTTTTATGCCCTAGGAATTGTAAGGAAAAAACCCCACCCTTTTACAAGAGCTTTTACTTTTTAACAATTTTACTGTTGCCCTTTGGGTTAAGTGTCCTTCAAAATGTCTAGAATGAATATGTTTTTCACCATAACTTTGTTATCATTGAAGAACGCAGGGGGGAGCGGGATGTTCAGTGCATAGGATTGTGTAGCAGTGATATGCTAAAACTACATGTACGTAAAATACATGGATCTGTTTCTAAATAACAGTAGCCAGTAGTTTGAGAATAATGGACTAATGTAAAAGTTTGATTTTTTTCCTCCCTCATCTACTTGGAAGAGTCCAAGTAGAAGATAAAGAACTTATTAATTCTAAAAGCTGTTGCTATGTTATGCTTGCAGAAGTCTATTTTATTGTTCATAATTTAAAGAAAACTTGTAACAGTGTATTTAAATATATTCTAAAGGCTTTAATGTATATGTTGTGACAAAGGCTGTCTAAAGCGGTAAACTCATGCTCCCAGGGCTTCCTAGAAATAGTGGTAGTGTTGAAAAGTTTTGAAATATACTTTGTTGTGTGTGAAAGGAAGACCTGGAAAAGTGTCATAAAACTCAGTGAAGATGTATAAATAACACTTTATCTTTCAAGCAAGATACATACGTGCAAATATCCAAGTTATGACGCTGGGTAAAGCAGTATCAAACTAGAGCATGAAAGAAGAGCGGGGCTATGAAGTGACACTGCACTTCTAAGTGCTGATTTCATGCCCTCTGGCAGAACTATTATTACCTTCTCTGAGATTCAGAGCTCCCAGCTCCTGCTGGACTCAAAACTCAGCAGAAAGCGTAAGCCAGAAATCCTTTCCTCTTTATATTTGCCTCCGTGGTTGACCCACTCCCAGGGGTGTATAAACAGGTACTGGTGGCATCTCCACTGCACTGCCACCCTGTTGAGAAGAGCCAAACTAAATGAACTGAAACAGAACTGAAGCATCTCTCTGCAGCCAATTACTGACCTTAACTCTGGTTTTCAGCAGACAAGAAAATAATGTTTTGTAAATGTTTCAGCTGAGTCCTGTTATAAAAGCAACAAACAGGCTTGTGCTGCTCTGAAGTGCCCTTCTGCTGTCTGCATTCCTTCTTAAGCTAACCCAGATTTCCACAGAGATGGTGACAGATCATTAGTACTTATATGGAAAATTCATCTGACACCTGTATCAAATTTGTCCCCATTAGGTTCAAATTTCATAACTGGAAAGTAAAACCGGGCTTGGTTTCTTCCATCTTTTCTCCTAGTTCATTTGAATTCAAAACCATAAGTAAATAGTTTCTTCATTCATTTGAGGTCATCTTGAGCAAACCTAGAAAATACTTTAGTACTTTTGTTCATCCAGCAAAAAGAACCTAAGCCCTCTACACTTTGGATGCTGGACTTATGATCAAGAATTTAGGACTATACAAAATTTCATTGGTTCTGCACCTATTTAACATAACCACTCAAAATCTTCACTCTTTTCTAGCAAGTATTGGATACTCACATGAGAATGAAAAAAACTCTGGGCTTAAAGTCTGCTTTTTCCAGATTCATCATACAAATTTGAGGCAACTTTTTTGTTATTATCTTTCATTGAAGTAAATCTTCACAGCTGAAAAAAAAATCATCACTATGTATTCTGTTCCACAAAAGTTTTTAAGCTCTTAGCTAATTTCTCCAGTGTGGCATATATATATATATGTGTGTGTGTGTGTCTGCATATGTGCATATTTATTTTCTTAAGACATTTAAAATTCCTTTCATTTTAGTAGGCATTGGATTGCTTCAGCTAAATGCTAAGCAAGTTAACAGGCTACATGCTGAAGAAATACTTGCTAATGATTTGGAAAAAATCAGGAATTCAATAAACCATCTGAATTGCTTGCAGTTTCTGGTGAGATCATCTAAGCCATTTCAGTTCAAAAAGCTTTTCAAATGCGTTCATTATGCTCTTGTGTCCAAGTTTCTAAAGAATCCACAGAAGAAATTTCAGAAACAGATGGATTATCAACATATTCAATGAGCTTTTTGTATCCAGACTGACGATTATGTGCATGAGTCTTCCTGGAGTTTTTTTGGCAAGAACACTTCCAAAGATTATCTGTATTGTACTCCTCTACCAAAAGTACTCAGAAACTATATACAGAGTATAACTGCATTTAAAATATAAAAGTGCTCTTCACTCATTGAGAGACAACAAACAACGGAGAGGTCACGCTTAGAAAAGCAACTGATGGAGGTCTCAAAGACACTTGCTGTGTCAGCTTGCACGTATACGCATCTGGTCACTCAGTTTGCTGTGGAGGAGGCTGAGTCTTAAAGTTTAGGTACAAATAGGGGAGTAGTTCTGTCCACATTTGTGTGGATTTCCAGCTGTGGGTGAGAGAAGTCTCTTCCAAATCAAAACTGAGGATGACTGTAGGGAGTGGTTCTGTCCTTAACATTTGTGTGGATTTCCAGCTTCCAAATCAAAACTGAGGATGACTGTGACCTTACCCCAGAGGGTCCCGTAAAGACATCTACACTCTTCTGTAGTTAATCGAGTCTGATGCTCATAACAAACTTACATACACATGACCCAGATTTGGTAAAAGCCCCCTTGAAATGTACTTTATTTGGAAACATTAAACCGTGTGAGTCACCAATGAATGTAATTGCAGTTAGTTTTAAGTGTTGATTTGAGAAAGAAAAATATACACGGTATTGCAGAATTCTATGAAGTTTGCATTCATATGCAAGGACACATGACAGTGTTTTATTAAAATAAAAAGCTTTAATACTTTTGCATTTAAAAGATTTAGCAGAAAATAATTGCTACAAACATGCTACAACAACATACACGTTCAAAAAGTTTTCAGTGCTTTCAAAGTTCAGCATTTTGGCAAAAATAAGTTTTTCTTTATATACTTCAGAAGTTGGCTATCATAATACTGATATAAAATACTTCATGTAGACTAAGGTCAGGTGCATAAAATACAATAAGTATACGTACTGTTTGTATAAACATTTAAAGTATAAATTTCATTAGATAACATGCAAATACTGCAATATTTTAAATGGCACTTAAATACAGATACTGAGATTCTTTATAATTTTGCATCCAATATGAGATTCTGAAATGTACAAAACTATAAAAAGAACATATTTCTTCATTGAAGTCAGGTACAAGTATAGAGCTTGATTGTCATTTTACAAGCATTGAGCCCAATGTCCTGCAAATCTTCACTAGTCCAAGTAAAGACGTCTACTGAAATAGGCCCAGGGCTAGTTAGTTTTCTTCATAATAAAATACAAAAGCATATTTACACAAGAATACTCTTAAATTTTTGGTAAGGCAGTTAAGTAGCAGCAACTTGTTTCTTCCAAAAATGATGTTTAAAATAGGTGCATGCTTTTCATTGTCACTGATATGCATCTGAATAATATAAAATTAACATTCTTCAATAAACTCAAAACACTATTTTGTTCATTGCTAAAAAGACCCCTATAAGATCCCTTCTTGCAAAAGTCATAGATCCATAATGTCAGAACCTTCCAGAGTATTTTTAGGTTTCCAGGATCAATGGAAAACAATCCAATTGCGCTGAAACAGTCAGCTGACTAGTAATGAATAAAAGAATAATCTTTTCACATTACTCCAAATACTTTTAGTTCTTCATTGAAAAACGTTAGTTCATCCAATCTACAATTTTTGTTTCCTGGTTCAGTGAGCAACAATTCTGAATGTCCTTCACAATATAAACCACCACCACTCACGCATATTTTCTACGCAGTTATATATAATATATTAATCCCGACAAGGTGAATAAAAGGCTTATGAACAGGGAGTGCAGAAGGGGCACCACTTTAACAGAAGGAGAAGAAATGCTAAATGAAACTTGCACTTGAGATGCAATTAGAGCTGACAGCGGTACGTGTGATGCTAATGTTGGACTGTCTGAATTTATCAGTGACTCTATTTTTTCTGCTTCTTTATTGCAGGCTTCAATCTAAGGAAAAAAAAAGTTATTATTTCTCTTCTTGCCATGGTAATGCAAAAATGTTGCTCGATAACCAAATTCAGGAAAGAAAATCTCAGTTATTCCTATCAGCACATAAGATTTGTATAATTTTGGGGAGTATTTCTTAGAAAACATATTGGAGCACTTATCGTAGACTTTGGTACTACAAAAACTACTGTGGAAGCCCCAAGTGGTAGCAAAAGGGAAGGGAGGAAGCTACATACAAGTTATAGTGGGTGATGTGGTTTGAATGTTGATGCCAAAAAGCTCACAATAAATTATAACCAAAGTAACTACCTCTAAAACTGAGGACTTCCTTCCTGATTGACCAAGATACTGCCTTGAAGTCTGCGACACTGAAAACATCAGGATTTTTGGCTTACTGAGCTTTTTCTTCTAAATCAGGGAAAATGGATTTCTTTTACGGGAAGGAAAGAGAAGAATGGAAGCAACAAGAAAACCTGAGAAAACTCAGGTTTCCATTCCCCCACTGATATAATTATAAGGATGAATTTGTTAGAAAATCCATTTTTTCCACTTTTTCCACCTTACCTTCTACTGCAACCCAGGAATCAATTGGATTAAGTCTCCAGTCTCCTAAGTCTCTTTAACAGCTCTGGAAGCTGCCTCTGGTGAAGTTTTAATTTGACAAACTTAATATGTGGACACTCAAAGCTTTGAAAGTTGAGGAACGGGCAAGGGGCATCACCAGTGAGATGAGCAGCTTCTCCCTGGTTTCAGGTGGCCTCTCTGATTTCAGAGAGTCCTCCTCTCCCCAGGACTCTGACAGCAGCTGCTACAGACGGAGCGAGAGCTGACCAAACCTGCAAGGCTCAAGACCTTGTTTCCTAAGTCCTGGTAACATTTTGGGCTATTTCTGCTAAAGAGGGAGACACGAGTTGCAGCTGAGTTGGACTAACGGAGTTGCTCCAGTAGCACGGGCAAGCAAAATACACACAATATAGCTGGCTGAGAAACGGTTACCCTATTAGATACTGCAGCTTGCAAAGTTTATGGCAGTGATTCTACCCCTTCACACTATACCATAACTTTAGCTCATCCCAGAAGCAATACTGAGCTTGCAAAATTAGACTGCAGAAATAAAATGGAAATGGGAAGCAGCCATCAATACAAAATAAACAACAAGGAAGTGAACCTGCCTGAATTGTTTGTATTGTAAAAGAGAAGAGAGAGATTGTGGGCAGGTTTTCTCTCCCCTTCCTTTTCAAAGCTAAATCCTTCATTTCACAGTAGTACACATCAGCGTGTCAGGTAACAGAACGAACCAGTCAGATCACCTGATCTCCAAAGGGACTTCATTATAAAGCGCTGTCAGCGGGGCCAGGCAAGACTATTAGAAACAACTAAGATGGCAAAGAATTATGTTCCTTTTAATAGGAAGAAGATACCCTCACTGGTCTTGCACAGGTTAATAAGCAGAAAGTAAAAATGAAGCAACAGCTCCAAGACAGTGACAATGCAATACACAGCCAAAGCCTTACTTCTATTGCTCTTCTATTGCTCCTACAAAAATCCTGTAAGAGCTTTGAGCTGCATTTGTTGGTTTACCTTTAGAGTTTAGTACCGTGAGCGTTAGGTTCTTGTTTGCTAGCTTGAACTAGCAAGCTTATTGTAATGTTATTTCCTTTTTAAGGTCGTAATAGCATTTTGGGATCTCCTAGCACTTTTCACCATACGGTGGAAAGGAATATCAAAACCAGAATGGTCTCAGAACATCCTCTTTGCTATAAACTACCGCTGAACACGTGCCCTTAATGCGCACAACGTATTACTGTGATATCAATATGTATGATGTACTTCAGCCTAATATCACATGTACCTCGATCTACTTTTAACCATTGAACCAGAGACAAAGGAGTACCATTTCATATGCAGGTATGCATTTAATATCCAATGAATAGTAAATTAAGAGGTCATTCAGTAATTTATTTATTTTCATTAGTTTGTATTGTCTGTTATTTTAGCCATAGAAAGTTGAGGGTTCTGCATTTATTAACTTTAAACCCCAAATCATACTACACTATCCTTGGCCTTCCTTCACCTCCCTCCTCTCATTACCAACACTCAAAACCCTCTTATCAGAAAAGCAGGATTCTCAAGACACGTTTTACCATCGATAATCCTGACTATTCAGATTTGAGTCACTAGAGAAAGCCCCATGTACTCAGCACACAGGAAAACGCACAATTTAAAAAATTCTGTGTTGAAAATAGTAAAGTGTACACATATAAAAATGAAGTAAAATCATGCTGGGTAAGCAAAATAATAACACAGCCTACCTGCAATGGCTTGGGGTTCTGATCCACAGGAATGATGAGAATCACAATCTCGGATTCTATGCTCAAGTATCCAAACACATCACACTGTGGCACTGAGACATGCAGGCGGATTTTTTCAAGTATGTCAAGTACTGTTATAGGCTTTTTATTTGTTACCTGGAAGAAAACAAAGAACTTTGTGGATGATGTGATATTATGAAAAATGACATCTCTCTTCTTCAGTTTTAATAACGTTATGTCATTCCAGAACTCAGGATTCAACTACTCAGTTCTAATCTCTAGCAAAAAAAAAAAAATAATCCCCAAACCAAGTCCCCAAAACCATTAAAAAAAATGAAAGGAAGAAGGGGAGAAAATGTTTTACTTCTTAAATTAACTGTGGTTTTGATATTTTTTTGTTCCCCACCTTCACGGTTAGTGTCTAAATGTATCATGTACCTCAAAATAATGTAAATGGTTATCTGTTACAGCAGCCTGTACTCTCATGCTGGGAAACAAGAGGCAAAGCATCCGTACCAGCCGGCACTCCTTTACCATCACAGAACCTGTTCCAAGAGCCACCAGAAATGAAGAGCTATGGTTTTGTGAAGACAGATACATGTCTGTATACGTGGGAACACGTGACATTTCAAGATCACTACATAACTACTGGGTAAATATATTTTTCTCTTAAAATTCTTATCTCTGTTCTGTTGTCTGTACCTGACAAACAATAATTTGATTGTGGATGCTCAGTCTATTTAAAGACTGCCACACCTTAAAGGTTTTTCAGCTTTTTTTCCAGGTCACTTCTGGATGTTTTGAACAGTATAGATACCAACACAAATAATTACTTGTGACTTCTGGTTGTTTTGTTGTGTTCTGTTTTCTAGCTTTAGCTGCAAGAGATTCATCCTCCTTCTCCTACTGTAGCTTAATTTCTTTTAAGACCACTGGTACAGGACCTTAACAAATGGAAATCTGGGAAATCCAAGTAGACTACACGAATCAAATTTGCAAGGTGTCACGCAACACTTCTTTTACCAGATCGTTGAGGGATCTCCTTGTCATAGCCCCATTAAAATGTAGCCTGACATGCTGACTGATCAGCAAACCCTGTTCAAACAGTCTTAAAACGGAAGCACATGAATACTTTAAGGACGACCGACAGTGTCAAACTTGGATTTTAATGTCTTAGATTAGAAAACTAGTAGATTAGATTAGAATCTTAGCAGATCTCTCTAATGTTTCTTTGCTCTGTGTAGATGCTGACTTTTGTTTCCTGCTATCTTTACAAAAAAAGGCCAGAGAGGTGGGGGGAGGAAAAAAAAAAAAAGATTTATAGAACTCTTTGGTAATTGAAGCTGTTTTTTCTCACGTGAAGCACATGTCTGAACTAAAATAGGCATACATTACTACACCTTCTCCTCTTGGGCTGGTTAAAATGTATGCTAGCATTTCTAGCAGTGATTCCATCTATCTGAAACTTCACCATCTCCAATACAATGGATGTATACACTATATGTGTACGTACACTGTCAAAAGCAAGAGCTGCACACCAATCCTATCATTTTATTGATGGAATCAGGAGAGATCAGTGTTATTAATGTAGATGCAAAGGTATCAAATCTACTCAAAGGCACAGGTGGGCATCTTCTGTTGTATTATTAGGAGATATTAGCTGGCCTCTGACTCATACTGGAGTAAAAGGCACAGAGCTTCTAACTCTCTATGCTCAGGGCAGTGTCACACCATGCACAGTCTCCAGGTGGCTGTGACCAGCTATAGATCATCTCTGGGGGCTTAGTGGATGACCCCTGATTGAAGTTTCTAAACGACAGAGCTTCAGTCAAAATTCTGTAATTTCTAGTATTTGCTAAGAGAATGCTGACTTGAATGTTTGAGAGATCACTATTTTAAATGTAAAGATATATACATTTATACATATGAGTTTTGAAAATTTGAAGATTGTGCATAGTGGCATTAGGTGAGCAAGAGAAGAGAAAGTCAGCAAGACTGTGGTGACAAAGGGAAAAAAAAGAGGGGAAAAAAAGAAGAAACCAAGCCACTACTAAGTACCCTAATCCAGGTATTAGGGTACTTAGTAGGTGAGAGAAGAGTAGTTAAGTTATCGCCAACTACTTGGATAACTCCTTGAGTAAGTCCAATAAATTTAACTAGAAAGCTGCCTTCTAACTAAACCCAAAAATTTTTCTTCACAGCCACATGTTGTAATGTATGAACTGAGAAGCTGCAGTGGTCACCGTGTCCCTGGTACAGACAGGTGACAACTGGAAGACATTCCAGGATGCAGTCATGACCTAACAGACACTGTTTCTCAGCAAAATTGGTCAATGCACATGCACGTGCACACCCCCACCCCCACCCCCAAAACCTCTGAGAGGAAATCAGTAGAACATCAATCAGCAGCACACCCTTGAGATGAAAGCCAACCACACACTGGGCTGCAACAGCAAGAACAGAGCCAGCAGAAATCATAGCCCCCCCTTATTTACTCTCCTCCCCCCCTCCCCAGGCCACGCTGACAAACTGGAGAGAGTCCAGCAGCGTTCAGCTTGTGGAATCTCCAACTCCTGGAGGTTTTAAAAACTCAGCTGGCCAAGCTGATCTAACCTTGCTTTGAGCAGAGGGGTAGACCAGACCCCTCCAGAGATCACGTTCAAACTAAGTTTTTCTGTGTCTTTACAATGATAGCTAATTTTCTCTACTTCTAAACATATAAATAGGTTAATGTAATTTTATACTGGTTTGGGGAAAATTTCTTTCTTCTTGATATTTAAAAAAATAAAAATCACGTGCAGATGTAAACATGAATTGTTTTGCTTCACTAGGCATCATTCTCATGTTGCTCTATTTTGTTGTGATGTCGTGCCAAAAATCAAGCGTTCTGCTCTGTTCCATATACTGAAGCATAAAAGCAGGGGTCAGTGAAGTGCAATCCGCCACACGGGGAGTCTGGACCGAGTATGTTGTGTTCTGTGATAGACAATCAACATCAGAAGATCCATCTTACACTGAAGGTTTTAAAAGAGCAGCAATGAAGGATGCTGGTGTTTAACTTAGAGATATTAAATTAAACCCCAACATTTTAGCTCATGAGCAACAAAAATCAGTGAAAACAATCTAGATAACCCAAAGAATGTAAACCAATCCAATTTAAACATAAGACAATGTCAGAACTAAGTTACCTACATTAGGAAATAGTGAGCTAGAAGAAAAAACAAAAAAGCCATAAATAACAAATATTCACTGTAATACTACCACGAGATAGATGCAGTTCCCCTATCATTTGTCTTTACAAGTCATTTAAACTGCAAACCCGAACGTGCTTGTTTGTGCCTACTCTAGTTCTGTTTGCTTTGCATTGTAATTTAATTTCTATACCTGATATTAAGAAATAAAGGAAAGTATAAAAAGTATAAAGAAAAAAAAAAAATCAAATCACACGCTATCTACTGAAAAATAACTGCTTTTCTGTTAACTATTCAGGAGAGAGTATACAATGACTTGACTTTTCCATGTACCATTTAACATAAGGCATGATTAAACTCTTTACCCTTGCAAAAGTATCCAGCTTGTCTTTGTCATATAAGATTCTCAGCATTCCAGCACATAGTGGACAGCAGGCTCCTACGTGAATAATAAAAAAAAAAATCTCAGAAACAAAAGTATTCTTTTCCTTTTTAAGTAAACAGAGGTCAAAAGTTGAACGTTAACTGAGGATGAAAATAGCAAAACTACCAAGGCAAAGTAAATTTTTAAATTCGATAGCAGAATTGCACAATTTCTAAGTTTTTTTAATGTTGAAAATATTTACAACACAAAAGCAGTCACCTTTCAACACACATTTACTACTACCAACACAAAGCTGGAAGATGAATTTTCATTTGTTTCCAGATGATACAATATTGTAAGCCAAAAACCACAGGCACTTTGTGTACTACAAACCAAGGTTTTGCATGGATGCATACATACACAACTACAGAAGTGATGAATTTCAAGAGCTGAAATAGCTAGGACATGACAGAAGCACTTATGCACGCTGGCAACGTTAATATATGCAGTTATACCATACGGGAGCTTAGACTCTTTATATGATAAGGGGGGGAAAGTACTTGTCTGATAGATTTTTGTTTAACACAGAAGTATGTCATATTTCTCCTACAGTTTTTCCTCGCAATCTTAGAAACCGAAGGGCTAATATTTCAACCTTCTACCCATGACTGTATATTTATTTCACCCCCCAACTTATTATATATAATTAATGTTCATGACTTTTACAATATTAAAAGTAATACCAAAGCACAAGCACCCTTTTTCAAACCAGCGAACGAGAAAAATGCATAAAACCATTTCTTTTTAAAAACTGAGCTTTCCTTGCTCTCTGTATTACCTGTGATTAGTTTCATAAGGGAAGTATTAGTGAAAATAGTAAAAAAAAACAGTTCAAAACCGCACAACTGCAGAACTATTCCTACTGTCTTCCTCTTTCACAGTACTGTAAATACATGCAGTATCTTACTCTGCCTTCTAATTAAATATAATCTTTGTTATTCTGGGAACTCTACTGCGACGATAGCTTGGCATTCCAGTGAGGCATCTGTGCTGCCACTTCCGAAAAATTACTCGTCTGATTCCCAGTGACATTCTACCCGAGACACCACAGACCTCATTTGTTCCTCCCAGGCCAGTCCTGTGGGCACAGCTGCAAGTTTCTAAAGATTGAAGGAGCGCGACTCGTAAAGCCACGGCCTTTCCGCTTCAGAATTATTCAGCTGAGTCCTGACGCCTGCTTGTTCTAGCCCTAAGTAAAGATCTCTACTTCATCCTTTCTCTTAGATGTCTCAAAGACATTATGGAAGACAATATTTTAAAGCATACGTTTTGTTCCAAATATACAGTAATTTATACGCGTAGCCTGGAGACTCTCTCCTATCTGCAGTAAACATCAACAGCGAATTAACGTACCTGGTGCTATAACTGGTTTGCAGCCAGTAGCAGAAAGCTGGGGACATTTAACAAACGCACATTCTGTATGAAAACCGTAGTCTGAGAGAACACCTACAGCCTGACAGTGTCCGTAATAGTCGACAGCCACGCGGTCGGAATAGGCAGCACAGACACTGCCGTAGGTCTCCCCGTTATGCCCACAAACAGGTTCCACTGATTTGCAAAAGGGCTGGAACACACAGAAATGTTTCAAAGATCAATTTCTTCGTGCTACAGACAAAACTTCAGAGTAGTTTTAACATTAGGAAACTCCAAGTTAATGGGAACCCGCTGATAATATTGTTAAACATTCAAAAAAGGACGAGCTAGAGTAAATAACCTGCCAGTTTACGAACAGGTAATAAATGCAAAGAATAAATACTTAAGGTGAAAGAAAAATGTAAGTTGGAATCTGAGAAATAAACAATAAGACGTGTTTTGGGAAACAACATTTTTTGTTCTGTTCTAATGCTTAAATAAAACGACCATGTAATTTAAATTAACTTATTAAATTAAGAGTATTATAATTTTATTAAGTAACAAAGTATGATTTTATTAATAAATTTATTTTAGTAATAATTTTTTACTATTGGGTACTGTAGCATTTATTAATATTTTAATGACTTATTAATAATTTTTTTATCCATTCACCTCAGTGTGGTTTTGTGTTCTTAAAACTTAGTGTGTGCGTGCATGTTGAGTCCCCATCCCTGGACGTACTTAGAAGACCTGTAGATGTGGTGCTTAGAGATACGGTTTAGTGGTGGACTTTGCAGTGTTAGGTTAATGGATGGTCTCAATCTTAAAGGTTTTTTCCAGCCTAAATGATTCTATATATTTCTAACTAATTATTTAAGAAGCTAAATGTATTCATTTATTTTAGAAGAATAAAATCCGTTACTAGACACCTCTGTCAAACACATTTATTGTTGAGACCTTTACATCTATAAAAATACATTTATTGTGTCCATTTTCTCTCAGAAAAACATATCTAGCATGTCACTTGATTCAAACACATGCAAAAAATCAAAGAAAATTGCAATACAGTTTCTTCCTATCCCGCCTGTCCATGGATGTGTCCAACACACTCAAGAGGTCAAATGCCAATAAACTTAAGCTTCTGAACACGGAGAGAAGCAAATGGAATTGCTGACTCTTTGCAGACAAGGTATGACTAATACTTTTGTCCAAAGTCTTGTAAAATGACACAACACATTCCATAATTTCTTGCTAAGGTCTAAATTTTTTATTACACTAATTAATATTTCAAGTAAGTCACCATATCTATATAAACACTGTATATCCTCTAGAATAGCAAGACAATTACAGTTTCTATGTTACACACCTAAGCTAACAACAAAACAGATGGAGGACAAGTAAATATGAGCACCCCAAACATCTTCCTATCTTGCAGACATCTTCCCTATAAAAGGAAGAGCAAAACTTAAAGCTAGCAGTGTAATTAATGTAATTAATTACCAGTGACTTAATGGACACAACTAGGCATATAACTGCTGGAGAAAAACAATGAGCCATCGCAATATTCTTTTGATTCTTATTGTTCAAGGGCTGAACATTCTCTGAGTATCTCACGAGACACCTGATGTGCAATGAGAAGAATTGTCTGTACTTGATGAGAAGAAGGTATGAACACAAAAAAGGCAGAAACTAAAAGTGGGTTAAAAAAGCAATAGCCTTTACACTACAGAAAAAGCCTGAAAAAATGTTCCGTACTTCTAAGAATATCCATCAGTTGAGACCAAGAGAAGGTCTCAAATTAATCTTCATCATTTGAGGAAAAACCTGGAGATGAACAGCCTATCAACAGTAAAGCCAGCAGCTTTGAAAAGAGAAGCTCCTGACTTTTCTTGCGAAGGGACAGAAAGAGCTTGTCTACCAACACTGTAGGGAGCAGTGGGATGGAAGAACTAAACCTAACCCTAACCCTTCTCAGGGATTAATACGCAGACTAATCCAATCCACACAATATTACAGACTGCCTAGTCTCCAACAAAACTTAGGTGTAAATAGATCCTGAACAATGAACTTGGTAAACCTGGGGCACAATCACACAAAATGCTAAAGACTTTCTATATGTTTATTTAAAACAAGTTCAAATTGGTGAAAGCTAGCATTTACCTCACCAAGGAACTGCACTAATTACTGCAAACACACACACCTCAGTGCAAGCTTTAATAGTGAAAAATATAGGAAGACTTAATATAAATATCAATGTATTAGCATAAGTAAAGCTTGTGGTTGGTTTTGAGACAACTAAAGCAGAGAAACACTTGACAAAATTCTGAATATAATTTTGTGAGACTATTTTTTATACTAGTGAAAAAATCGTATTTTTAAAGGATTACTTTCAACGAAAACATTTTGTAAGCTATAAACCCCAGAATATTGCAAAGTTAAGCATTAAAGAACAAAGAAGATTTGATATTTATTGCTAGAACCACTTCCTACCTGGCATGGGCCTCGGTATGCTAAACTTTTTCCTTTTTGGTACAAAGTACACAAGTTACTGTATTCCACATTGTCTGTGTCACAAACAGGATCCCGTGTCTGGTCACAATTTAACTGCCTTGGCACACATTCATGCTGGCTACATTCGAACTTTCCAAAATCAGTCAGGCAAACTTGTTTCTTTGGTATGCACCTGCATAAAGTAATAATAATTTCGTATGATGTCATAGGATTTCTTTAAGCCTCAAAATATTCAGGGAAAATAGTTTCAGTGAAATCTTCTCCAGTGCTTTAGAGCTAACTATGGTTCAGTAGAGCTGCAGGAAATACACGTGATAAAACATTCTGAATAGCCAATTTCAGGTCTCATCACAAACCTGAAACTGCTTCACACCATGTTTAGTCAATGTATGTGAACACAACTACAGTTTCCACTAAAATTAATCTTTTACCAAGTATTTTTCAATGGATTTTTGAAAAAGGTTTGGATAAACTTCTTAGCAACTCCCAAGCTTCATTTTGTAAATGCATATTTAAGGAAAACTAGAGAAAACATGAACATGAAAACACTGAACTTCAAGAGAAAAAGATTATATTGCAGAGGTCTAGCTTCGCCCTTCCTTGAGAAGGTAGTGAAAACAAGACTTACAAGATTATTTGTTTTCAGTTACAAATATCTAATTGGATTCTAACTTTGTAGGTTCAGTATATTATATCACATCCAATCTTGGGGGTAACTGCAAACAAATGGAAAAATCTCGTATTAACACTATTTCCTTTTCTTGGTAGGTCATCCCTCTCAAGCCTTCACAGACAAGAAGTAAAGAGCAATAAACAGCAGAAATTCTTTCCCCTCTGTATTAAACATGTACCTTCCATGGTCTTATCCACAAAACATTTGCCATATACCTTGCAAGACATCCCTCTGCTAGAGAAATGCCAGCCAGTGGAGTCTGATGAAAGGCCAATTTTTTAGCAGTCTCCTCCTTCTGTATTTCCCCCGAGTGCTGCTGTCCTATGCTTTTTTCTTTTATATTAGGGAAGACTCAGATATTCTGAGATTTAAACACTTTACAAAGGGAAAATAAGATCTTAAATAGACTGGAAGCACTTCAGAGACATTTTAAAATGAGCATGTTTAGTTTACGCTACATTATCAAACGGAGCCAGGAAAGTGTACTGCGTACAGTCCTTTACTGAAACTACAAGCTGAGGTTCTAAGCATAATGGTTATTCTGTAAAACTGAAAAACCTCTTTATACTTTCCAAATTAAAAATGTAAAATGTAAAAAGTATGTATCCACAATGCAGCTTTGAAATTCCAGTTTTCAATGCCATAGTGGCTATTACAGCTACAAAGCTACAGTGTTTTCTCTGCAGTTTTCTGCATTAAGGCATTTAAAGTGCAGAAAAAGGCAAAAATAAAATTGCTATAATCAGTTTTCACGAAAGCACAGTATTACACAACTTCTTATGGTGGCTTTCTTTCAAAACAGAAAAATGTACAAATTCAAAGGAGACGGAAATATTGCACAACACTGAGAAAATTGAAGACAGAGACCAATATTATGAGCCACAGACTTTGATTTCTGTAAGAAGGGTCAGATTTTCTTTTCGCCTGACACTAGTACAGAGCATATTTTTGTTTTAACACGTTTGTCTATACAGATCTTATTTTTTCTGACACTGAAGAAAAAAGAGATTGTACAGACATGGTTTTCACAAGATATCAATCTAATCAAGAGAAACTCAAGTCTTCCAGAGTGATCGATATTTTCCTATTTTAGAGACAAAAAGCACAGATTATTGACTGAATAAGCAAGACTGAATCCAAGTCCTGAATTCAGGTGTGGGGTTTTCTTTAAACTACTAGAAGATATGAAACAAAGTCGTAAAATTACACTTTTGCCATTTCAACAAAATTAGATTCTCCCATTTTTGAAAATATATGTCAGTTCTCTTTTACTGCTAAAACTGATATATGTGATTCTGTAATGAATTTAAATTATATAGCACTACATAAACAGAAACAAGATTATGAGTCCATTACTAACTACGATAAATAAAATTAGCTACTTAAACATTATTTTTTATTGGAGTAGCCCAAAAGTAGAATGTTACTATAATATAAAACACATTCAAAGAAAAAGTAAATCTGCTTCATGAGTAGACAATGCCAAAGAAAAGCTTAAAAAAATATTCTGCTTTTACCTCTGATTTTTACTACACGGGTTAGGGTTACAAGGATCCTTGGAAATACACGATCCAAATTCAAATTGATTGTCCTGGAGCCCAACACAACGAGCTATACATGCACTTGGATACGTGCGTCCATTTTGACCACACACTGGTACAAACTGATCTACGCAGTTACATGGTAAACCTGTAAAAGCAACACACAAAACAGGAGTTTGGCACACACTTATTTTCTATGACAGAAGATACGCAAAGTGTCACTAAGGTATCTATCTCTAACTTCCAGTAAATGCAAAGATGTGTCCTACCTTCAGCCACTCCCTCCCTCCTGTAAGTTAGCAATGCCATAGCACAGATTCATTTATAATTAGCAGGAAGGGAAGTTTGTGCCCTACTTCCTTGCTAATTCCGCTCAGCTTTCTCCATTTTTTTCCCCAAACTCCTTATCTCTTGTCCCCAGCAGCATTACCTTGTCTCTACCTATTTTTACATATTACCTGAGGTTTTATTTTTCAGTGCTGGTCTTTTTTTTTTTTTTTTTTAAGGTAGGTGTTTTTTCTGAAGTGCAGGATGGACATGAGAAAAATAAATAGTTGAAAGAACATATTCATAACAAATTATCGGGTATTTTCCATTAATACCGTAGAAAGAATTTCAATGCTAATCCTTGCTCTAAGAATACTAAGCTTACAGTTGCCAGTTTGGAAAGTTACCTGTAAACTTCCGACGTTCATCTTCTGAACTATGCTCAGTTAGACACTGACGCGTAGAACATATCAAGTTTCCAGCAAAACACGAACAGACATTACAATCTATATTAAAGGACATTCCATGGCCTTAAAATAAAAGAAATTAAGTAAATGCATACAATTAATGCAAATATACCAGGAGACTATATACTCAAATGTATTACATAGATATTACATTTTAAATATTAATTGTTCCTGTATTTTTCCTTATTCAGTTTCTTTTCCCGTTGAAATTTCTATCTTTTCTTAGATTTCAAGCTTTATTTATTTAACGAAAGTCTGTTCACATGTGTTTTTGATTAATTAGTTAAACAACAAAGCAAGCACTTTATCCTTTCAAAGCCTGTGTAAGTTAGGTTTTCTTTTTTTTTTTAAAGAAAAATTGAAAGCTGCAAAAAGAAATACACTCAGAGAACAAAAGTGGTGACATAGTACTTCTATAAATTCTGGCAAACATGCTCCATATTTTTAAAGGTAAAGCTTTCGTCAAGATACATTCTTCTAAACTAATTTTACGTAAGACTGCTAAACTTTCAGCCATAGTCTCATACACAATGCAGAACTCCTCAGTAGCACTCATTTCTTTCCTTTGCGTCTACTTTTTGTCAAGAGGTAAAGAGTGCCAATGCTTCATTCCAATCTTTATTGTTTTGCAACATCCATAATAGTCGTAATTTCATTCTCAACAAGCAGTACAAGTTACAATGCAGCTCTCTCCAAAGCAGGGAACAGGAAAGATTGTAGCAAAGCTGAACAGAAACCCAGATCTAGATTCAGCACAAGACACACACAAATACAGAGGTCTGTGTTCACTCACTGGCTTTCAGAAAGAAGCCCCTAATAATGCAACTGACACCATCACAGCTGCTTTTTGAGCCTGGAGCAATCTGCCTAATTTTTGCATTTTATAAGCGAGTAACTTTTTTACACCTGAATCTAAGAATCAAACTGCAAACTTGCGGAATCTTTCTTTGATTTAGCAATTCCGGTTTGGTTTTGTCAACTGTGCATATGTCTGCCCTTCACTGTGTTGTATGTTTTATGTAAAATCAATTCATGTTGACGACAGCTGATCTATCCATAACCAGGTTGGTTATTAAAGACTACAAACAAATACACCGCTCTTCAGGAAAACATACGAGTAACTGTGAATAACAAAATAAAACAATTCTCTCTCATCTCCTTTCAAAGGCTTGAGATTAAGGATTAAAATTTTTGAAAAATATTACAGGGGCACAAGAACAATCCTCAGCATTTGAGCCATTTGGAAGAGGTACTCCTAGACAAACGGTGGCAGGACAAGAGGGGATAGAAGAGAAAGGCTCTGGAGCAGAAAAAGCTCTGTTTAAAACACAGTACTACCCAAGGAAGAAGGAATTTGTCAGCAGGGAAGACGAAAAGTTTCCAAGATTTGAAGGTAATGCCAAACACAGGATCTCTTAGGTCATTCTTCAGTGTGAAGAGTAACTGCCTTAGCACCCAGCTGAAAACTTTGCAAGACCATTGCTTTCACTATCAAAGAATGCACACAGCAAACTGTCCTCTTCATCATTAATTATGTCATAATTGGAATCTATTCACAACACAAAAAAACCCCACCCAGCATCAGATAAAGCAGAGTTGTTTGCTTTATAGAGAATGGTTTTAAAACCACAGTTCAGATTTTATGACCAAACCTTAGCTTTTTCCAACTGACACAAACCAATTAAATATAGTAACTACAAAAAGTTCATATGGTGACCGTAAATTTTTAATTATTTGTTTTCAATACATCATCTAACGAATCTGGAATTTAGCAATTTTTATCTTTTATTATATAATACCTAGGGTCTTAATCACCACACACACTTACTACACTTAATGAGCAATTATGGCAAAAGAGAGGAAGCTGTCTGGTTTTGGCTTTGTGGTGGTTTGTTTCTTTGTTTTTGAAATCGACAGCACTTACTGAATACAGAAAACGTAACACATATTGTTGTTAGTTACCACAAGCGACAGCTGTACACTGCAAATATAAAACACAAATACAACTTCAGACATTTTTGTTATTATTTTCACCAACAATCCGAAAAAGTGCAAGTTTGTTTGGTCAACAAAAGCTTTCAGTCACCATTTAAATAATGTATTTGCTAACGACTGTATTTTAAAAGCACCTACTTTCACCAGATACTTTCTATAGCTGCCCACCAAATGTATCATTAAGGTTAAGATGTTTTCAGTGTTCTGCTTCCATGAACAAATAGATCAATTTGGCAATACAAAATAAGCTGTGTGTTTCACTGACTCTGGATGAACAAAACCCTCAAATCACTACAAGCTGTAAATGCATGGAACATTACAGGAAGAAGTATGTGTGTGCATGTGCCTCTGTGCACGTGTCTATTGGAAACACATCCAGCGATTATTGGGTTTGTTCACTACTAATTCAGGCATCAACAACTATTTTGATAAAACTAGTTTTATGCAATTTTCACATCTACAGCTACGTTTGCAGTAGGAGGGAGTGAACACATGATCAATGCACAAAAGAATCACTCAGAAGATAGGTTACCAACAACAAGAAGTAGTAAAAGATTTTCTTGCATCCCTGTTCCCTGCAGAGGAAATTAAAAGTCTAAGCCAACCACCTTCTTCACAGGCAATGTGTTAGAGAACCTGACTCAGAAGCAGCTCTTGGACAGACAAATGCTCACGACTCTGCAAGACCAGAAACATTCACCAAAAAACTCCAAATCAACTCAGGTATGAAACACTGCTAATATAAGCAAAGTTATTTATAACCTCTTGCTTTAAGTTTCCCCAAGGTTTGGATACCAATGCAAGTGGATAAAATATATACTTTTTTTTTTTCTTAAAGGGTTCCGTGGATAACAAAAATAGGTAAAAAATTTGCACAACACAAATGTGGTAAAAGTATACAAGTTTGCATCAGTGGACACACACACTGATGTGTGTGTCCAGTGATGTGATACACTGATACTCTGGGGGAAGGAATCACATTTTTTGTGCAAGTCACAAACCAAATCTTTTAGGATTATCTGAAGGACTCAATAAGCATATGGACAACAGAAAATCAGGTTGACATACTTCAACACTCAACAGACATTTAATAGCTCTTTAACATAGGCGGTCAAGAAAAAAAGTAGAAATAGGGAAAAAGAGGTGCTCACATTGATAAATATCTGTGAAACAGAATAAATGGACAATGAAGGGAGGTGACTGGAGGAGTCTCCATGATCTATGTTCAACATATTTATATGTGATCCAAAAAACAAATGCAATTATTTACATGACAAAGTCTGTCAATAACATTAACATACAAAGGACCAAATAATGAAGAACTGCAAAAAAATCTCACCACACTGACCAAACAGGAAAGGATATAGCAGAGGAAATTCATTGTACTGAACATAAAGTGATTCTCTACAATTCACAAAATGAGCTGTGAACTGACCATTTCCACTTAAGAACTGGACCGTGCTGTTAAAACAGATAGCTCTATGAAGCATGACATCAATAGAATTAGTAGCCAAAAAAAAGATAATGTTCAGAATAATTATGAAAGGAACATCATTTTGCTATTACATACACTTGATTGGGCACTTGATTGTGAATGGTGAATGGAGTTCCAGTTCCCATTTGAAAAGAAAATGTAAGAACTAGGAAAAGATACACAGTAAGGTAATAAATATGACCAAAAAGTATACAACTGTTTTCATATAAGGAATGAGAAAAACCCAGAAAGCTGAGGTGAGTGTAACAGACGTCTGGAAGAGGAGGCAAATAGGCAACAATCATTCATCAGCTTTTTCAACAGAACTAGGATGAATCTCATGAACTAAGAGGAATCAGATGAAACTAACTGTCAAGGCTCAAATGAAAAGACATCCCTTGCAAACCTCACCAAAAAAAAAAAAAAAAAAAGAGAGGACTTCTAAGCGCACATATTTTAACATGTGGAACTTCCTTCCAGAGGTTATAGCTCATGATAAAAGTTTCTATTTTTAAACCCGTATTTAAAATCCACAGAAGAAAAAAATAAACCAAACCAAACCAATGAAAACAGAACCCCCCCAAATTATTTAGGGCTTGTAAAAAAACCACCCCCTGCTCAAGGGGTCTGTGGTTTGAAGCACACAACAGATTCTGGTAAAATATGATTAAATCTCTGCCTTTTCTCATACTCTTCCCCAGACACCTCTACTGGTCACTGGATACCCAATGCTGTTGAAAATAGACTGAGAGTACCCGCGAAGCTGGAATCCAGGAAATGGGCAGCCATTTATAGTCAGTTACGCGGTCCTTAAACCTCAGAACTACAGTATGCTTAAAGCAGATCCATTTGTTTTGCTGCTGTTGCTTCATCCCTGCAGCCTACTGGCTCCTCTCAGAACTTTTTCCCTCCTCAATCCTCAGAGCTCCCACCAGCAAGTTCTTCTACCAGAAAGGAAGCTACCTATTATCAAGTACCACAAAACACAAAATAGTAACGCAAGTAACACAAAATACAGGGGATGGGAGGCCAGTCAGTGACCTTTTGGTTGAAAAATGGTGTGCTAAGAACACCCTTCACACAGGACTTTCATAGATTGAGACAGACACAGTTCAGTATTGATTTAAATAATGGAACCCTCCAGCATATATAAGAATTACACAAGTATTATATATAAAGATACAAACAATAACTTTTGTATTTTCTGATAAACTCTCCATTCAGATCCTCTGGGTCTTCCTATGTACCTCAAAATTCATTACTTAAGGAAGAGGTGTTGTATAAAGACATAATTACTGTTCTAATACTTACTTTTTCTTTGCCCTCCAACAATGCATGATTTTTGGAGGTCAACACAATGCATTTCCATGCAGTTTTCTAGCAATCCACTGTGTCCACAGGTACAAATCTTGTAACAACCAACATCACCAGCTGAGGATGGAACCTGAATAAGTGTACCTTGACGGACAATAAAATCTGAGGCTTCTCCCAGTTTGCAACCTATAGATAAGGAGAAATTTTAGCTCATATTTAGTAAATACTTTGGCAAGCACCACTACCAAAAATAACTACTACTCTTTGACTTGTGGAAAAGCTAAGGTGTTCCTAAATAAGCCTTGCTCTTGCCCTGTAGACAAATTCACTCATTTCATTCAGGCAGCAAGTAGCAGAAATAGAAGATATTTGCTTGAGACGATGTTCTGAAGTACCTGTAGAAAAGTCACTTCAGAGAAAAAGACTGGTAATTCCAACAATTCTCAAGTAATCTCATTTTCCATAGTTCTGTAGTAGTATGAAACATACGTGATATAACAATTCCCACATACGCTTCGTTCTCTCAAATACACAAACTGAATTAAAGGGTCTCACAAGCAAAGACCAGTCATTTCCCCTCTCTCACATATTTTATTGTGTCTTCCTTCCCTACCTGTACCTCTTATGTGAACACTGAAGGACTTTTACAGGTAGATGCGAAGAGAGGAGAAAGGGAGCAAAAGCAGGAAAACTGGATTAAAAGAGAATGGAAAAGAAGAAAAATGGTTTAAAAAATGGCAAGGAAACAATAATTAAAAAATAGTAGATTAAAATTAATCTAGAAGTGATGAACTGCAACAAACGCCCCAAAACCTTCAACCAATAAAAAGACTGAATTCAAAGATAAAAGTCAGCTTCCAACCTTTAGAGGAAGTAAAATATCTCTGGGTGAGCTTGTTTTCAGATCACTTTGAATGACTTTTGCAGCAAGTGAAGGCAATACAACCTCTGTAGTAATAATGCTCAACTTTTCAGAAAAACAAAAATATTTTGCATGGGTCACAGAAACATAACCAAAACAACATCCTTAGGCTTACAAAAAGAATGAGCCGACATCTATCTTCACTTTTAGAGGAGCACAAATATAGCAAATGTATGAGCGAAACAAAACCGTTTTCCTCTCTGCAATTAAAAATCACTGGAGAAACTGCTGATCAGCCACAGAACTGCTGGAACAAAAGAGGCTCAGGGAACCGATGCAAGACAGTTATGGCAATGCTCTCTATCACTTCTCCTAGAAAGGGAGCTGCTTCATGCAATTCAGTCTAAAAATCAGTGTTGCTCTCAGTTGCTCAGTCTCTCTTAACACACGCATTAGGTGGTCACCAAATGCAAGCTTTCCTCTTTGCTTCAAGAACCATACGTGATCCCTCATGTCACTCTTGCTTTAAAAGAAGAGGAAAAATTGTGGCAAGGACTACTGGTGTCTGAGGTAGAACAATGAAGGGGCTGTAGAAGTTGGACATTGCACAATCTCCTACCTCCTTTTGTAAATTTGACCCTTGCTATCAACACCACACCTGCCATTTCAAAGTTAGATGGCTCAAATTCATTCTACATGAGGCTCTCCCCCCATTCAGCTCATTTATGCATTGCACAGAAGTTTGAAAACACCTACGTTCTAAAAAAGTAGTTCTCAAATGATCACGAATGCCTTTCTAGTGACTTGCACCTACATTAAAAATATCACTCAATGGAGTAGCAGCAGAAATGCAGTCAGCTGCGTACTGCTACATCTCCAGACATCATCTTTAATGAGAAGTGGTACCATGGGTCTCATGTAAGAACAAGGCAGCACAAAATCCATTATTCATATTTTCGTTGTTTCCCAACGTCGGTGTCTTTTTCCTCCAAACTATAAGTCTACATAAAGATTTGGGAGACACAGAGCTAATCTGCCTTTTGGTTCGTGCTTTTTCTCCAGTCAATGAACGCGCAGCGCTGTCAATCATTGAAAATGAAGTACAGAGATGCTGCATCAGTGCTGTAAGCTCAAGTAGTAGAGAGAAGAAAGGAGAGGCAAATAAATTATGTCCCATGCCGCTTCCTTCCCAAGTTCTAAACCTGGGCACTCCAAATCCAGTAAAGCAGCAACCATGAAGCTCTTAAGAAAAAGTCTGGATATTAACTTACTAGTTACCAATGAGCTGCTGGAGAGATTTTAAGAAGTTGACCTGGCCTATGAAGAAGGATTTGGGACAATTCCATTTAAGATACCACCCTGAACTTTAATATAATACCGGAATTGCTGCCAATGCAAATATACATCCCAGGGCACACTGCATTTAATCAAATTCTCAGAACTCTCAAAATGTCCTCCCAAGACCGACAGCCCGATTTTCATTAATTTCAAGGCAAGACATAATATCCATTTATTTCACCAGTAAGGAAAATAATGTGGATACGGCTAACAATGTACGGAAATACAGGGCAATACACGCCATGGTGTTTGCAGAAGCAGTGAGCTGCACTGTACTTGCAGTATTGCATGCTTGTAATTTTAAAGAGCAGACAGGCTGTTTAGAGACCATGTATGGACATTTATTTCTTCTGAAAAATAAGTAATATATCTTCTAATAAGACATTATGTTTCAGTGGACAGTAAAAATAGAAACACATCAAGAAAATAGATAGGCGGTAGGCTACAGCTTTTGAAAACACAAGTTAGAATAGATAGGAGGTAGGCTACAGCTTTTGAAAACACAAGATAATTGTGATAATAGTTCTTTTGGGCTATCAGCAATTCACTTTAAAACTTCTAACAAAATTTCAGTTACATATGTTTCTCAGCAACGTTCAGGTAAACAGAAGTCCCAAACCTCTTACCTGGCACACACAAATATGGAAGACACAGTTCTCCAGATTGACATCCTTTCCTATTTACTTCACATAGCTGATTAGCTGCACAGGGATTCGGATTACATGGATGTGTAACATCTTCTACAATGTTACCTAAAGAACTTGGGCCTGAAAAGAGAATATCAATCTACATTGATTTAAATTGTTTATTTTTCTTCAGTAAAGCATGGCATTTCTTACATTCAGTAAAATAATTATTTTTGACAATTCTGTGAAATATTGGGGTTTTTTTTAACTCCACTTGTAGCAGCATGACATGACAAGGTAGTTAACTTATTTCAAAAGTTTAGTCCTCAATCCTGGAAATAATGACCCAGATGTTTCTTCTAAAGCAAAATATATTTCCTCTATCTTCCTTCCCCAATAATTTCTCTATATGATGAAAATAAAAACTAACAATGACCAGCAGTTTAATCTAGAGAGGTCCCATAGTCAATGATTAACAAATGGGAGGTTTCAAGTACACTTGACATTTAACCAAGTTTGCTGTCATTGATAAACTTTTGTTTCTGTTTTCCCTTTAACTCACTAGTAATGTTCTCTTGTTACAAGATTAAGGAAAGGGAAGGCAACACGGAAAAGCAGCAGCTAAATGGAAAGAGCCACCTAAAGCTTCAATACATTGTTGCAGCTCTTACTAACTGAAATTTTACTATTTTCAAAGTTCCTGGGATTCTTAGAAAGAAATACCCAAATCTAATTTGGAAGAAGGTCTAAAATGGATAAATCCCATAAAGCTGAAAAGGTCTAAAACCTACAGAGATTAATATGCAACAGGTAGTAGTAATAAGGGTAGACCAGATTTGGAAAATAATGTAAAAGTATGCATTTAAATAAAATCTAGAACCAAGACAAAAATTTACTAATACAACTGTGTTCCACACTGAGGGATAAGACATGCCAGAAGGAAACAGAATCACAAAAACTTAATTCTTCCACATACCTACTAAACTCATGTTCTATTACCCAAAGAGTTAATTTGGGTTTTGGTTATTCTAATTGCACAGTTAAAGAACAGAGTTTATGCATCAAGGAAAAGTGTAATTTTGTACATCAAGAAGTTGTGGTCTAAATCATGATATTGTTTAAGTGACATCTATTTGAGATCAGTCCTCCCAAGCATGATCCAGCTTTTGTCCTGTGAATAAATAGTGCTAGTGATTTTGTTACTATAACACTTTTTTGGCATGTGAGATGACTTCTTGAAGAACAGAATTTTCTTAAAGTAAGATTAACTAGTCTGTTTTCAAGTAGGTAAAAATCATTGAAATTCATCAAGCCAGATTGTTAGACGATAAAGATTAGTGTACTTGCATTGAATATATGAATTCCCCAAAAGGGAAGTGTGGTGGGTTAGCCCTGGCTAACAGCCAAACTCCCACCCCAAATGGGATGCAGGTAGAAAATAGGTACAACAGGAACAGAAAAGCTCGTGGGTTGGGATAAAGACAGGAAGATCATGTAAAAATTACCGTTGCTGGCAAAACTGACATGACTTGGGGAAAATTAACTAAATCTATTGCCAATTAAAATAAATATCAAATTACAGATTCAGGTAATGGGAACAAGAGAGAAACATTAAAGCAACTTCTTTCTTCCTCCCTTTTCCAGGCTCAGCTTCGCTCCTTCGCTCCAGATTTCTCTGCCCCTGCCCCCAGTGACGCAGTGGGGATTAGGAAGGCGGGGATGATGGTGACTATGGTCAGTATGCAGCAGTTTCTCTCTGCTGCTCATTCCTTGTCACACCTTTCCTCTGCTCCAGCATGGGCTCTCCACAGGCTGCAGCTTCCTTCAGGGAATACCCACCTGCGATGGTGTGGGGTCCTCCACAGGACACCTTGTAGTTATCTTCTCTGCCGCTCTCCTGCTGCTCCTCTCACCTTGGTCTTAGCTGTGTTGTTTCTCGCTCTTCCCTTTCCCTTCTCCTCCGCCTGTCTGGCACTTTTTGCCCTTTCTGACGCATGTTTTCACAGAGGCACCGCAAACTTTGCGAAGTGGCTCAGCTCTGGTCTATAGCGGGCCCACTGCTGAGCTGGCTGTGCCCGGCACAGTGCAGTCCCTGACGCTTACCCATACAGCCCCTGCAGCCTCCACGGCTACCAAAACGACCTTGCCATATACACCCAATACAAGAAGGAATAAACGTAATGAGCTGTGGCAATTTGAAAAATCCCATTTTCTCTAATATGCTAAATACAATGCCTCAAATTCAATATAATTTTCTTCAAAAGAAATAATTAAAGTTCTTAAAAGCAATGATAAGCATTCAAAGTATCTTGATTTCTAGTTTTGTTGTACAGGTATGTTGACACTTACTCAGGTATGTATCCAAAGGGATACAGTTCTCCAAGTCATCTGTTGGAGACAGGAGCTCACAAATACTTTCAGCTGAATGGCCTTCAGGGAATTTATTATGATCTCCACATTTCTTCAGTATTTCCACACAATCTGATCTTCAGATAAATAAAGAAACAGGACTTCATGAACATTACTTGAAGAAAAAAGGTTTTGTATGGAAAAGATTTATTTCCATATTCTTCCCTTCCTCAAATCCACAACCTTCCCCTCCTGCCTCACAACAGAGTGTTTATATATAAACATATGTATATGCTACATTTTACATAGAGGGGGAGGAACAAATTTGTGACAGACAGCAACTATTGCTTACACTACTCTTCCTCTACTTTAGGCCTGGTGATCTTTATTTTCCATAGCACCATATGCATGTATCTTTCAAGACCAAGCATTTCCTCGATTTACTAATGTCTAATATGGGTTGAACTCTATCTCACTACCTGTACTATTAACTGGTCTCTTTATTTTAAATAACTTTAATGTAATAATAAAGTTATTTATTATTAAATTTATTTATTATTTTTTTCAGACTTTTCCATCAGCTGAAAATCACCTATAGATCCCAAAACTGAAAATGAGGAAAGGTTTTATAGACACCACAGAAAGCCAAAAAAACCCCCAACAATAAATCAACTTTACAATGAAAGCATATGCATCCATCTCATTAACGGGGAAGCATCTTCCATTTACAGTGATGGAGAGTCAAGCAATGGAAACTACACAAGCTCATATTTCTTCTGTGCTTGCCTTGCCATGTTTTCTTAACGTAAGTCGAACAGTCCTACAGTAGCTTTTTAGTTCTCATTAAAATTCTTAGCAGAACCTCTAAACTGTTTTTCCCCCACGGTACTTACTTGCAGATAATACTTCCTCTAGATTTGCTGTGGCAAGGTTTAATCTGCAGTGAGCAGGCAATTGCCTTCCACATCTCTGGTTGGCATTTTTTAATATCAAGCACAGGAATATTTATAAATGGCATCTTAATACTTCCTTTTTCCCATAGCTTCATGTCATTCATGGCTCCCTGGTCTGACTGAGTATTGCAGCTCCTAAAAAGTTCTGTTGGTCTTAAAAGAAGAAGTTAAGATATGGCATGTATACAAGAAAAAGAAAACACCACACATTTTACCTTTCACCATATGAATTCTACAACCATAATACGGCTTGCTTTTTGTGGTATAAAGGAAATGAATCCCTTCAACAGTTAAGCAAGATCAAAACCAACTTGAGTTTTGTCTTTAAGGAAAATAAGTTCTTTAAGACTTAAGGCTGAAACTCTCTTTTCGCCTCTACCTCTTAGATCAAATATCACTTACATTTTTGTTACCTGAGAACAGCTGACTTAAAAGCAAATATCTTATATATACAGAATATCTGTGCAAACGTTTCCTGGTGAATTACTAATGGAAATTGATTTATCATTTATATTTGCCCAGGCTGCATCTATCACAGATGTGATTCTACTACTCACGTACCATTCATGCCACTGTATACTACTTCAAAGAAAAGCCAGAGATCTCTAATAGCTAACAAAATTTTAAATGCTTTTTTGAAACTCAAACTATTTAATTTGTAACCTTGCAATTACTAATTCAGACACCACTTTTAAATCATGCATTTTGTCCTATACAGTATAAACACACAGAAATATCTCTGAAAGAAAAAGAATTTTGAAAAAGAGTAACATGTAAGTTTAACAAGAATTTTTACCTTATTAATAATACTTAACATTCCAGTAGTCATGGCTTACTTGTCTATACAGTAAGACAGAGGAATATGCTGCTAATACATGATGACATTTTACAAGTTCATGGGTTAGCTTTCATTCTTGTAAGTTTTGTTATGTCTGTTGCTAAATACATTTCCAAAAGTTTATTCTAAAAAAAAAAATCTATTTATTTTTAAATTCTCTAGAAAAGTATTTGCAGAAAGACAGCTATACACAATATTAAAACAAGCCTGAAAAACATTTTATTTTTAAATCAAAGCACAGGAATTCCTTTATAAAATATTCAGTGTCTCTCTCCTACCTGTTATTAAAATTAGTGCAGTAAGTAAGATTTCTACAGCCCAGCTGACAAGGTTCTCGTACATCTGCTAAACAGGTCAACATGGAAACTTCAACTGCATTATACTCACAAAAGCGATCAAATTCTTGCCAGCTCTGTGAATTGCCCCAGCTCGTGCTATAAAGTTTAGTGCAGAGCTCTCTGGAAAAAAAAATAAATAATATATAGACAAAGAAAATAAAACTAAAAGAACAGCAGTTGTTCAGATATAGCAGAAACCAGTTGTTTCTTTGCTGATCACAACAGCCTATGCTCACTGTAGGAGATTGTGTTAGTGTCCACAAAGTCTGCAAAAGTATCCAAATATTGTGCTCAAAGCAAATAACCCCACTTCACTCTTTTCTAAGTTTTCAAGTTTTGCTTAAGAATGTTAGCAAATCTTTAAGCTAGTAAGACTGAAAGACTTCAGAATATAAAACTGCAATATCCAGTAAAAATGTAATAGCTGGAAACCTGAACTAATGACTCTGAGGTGAGAACTATCGCAGCTATTTTTACTTATAATAAGTCTAGGTTGACATGATAATGAACCACTTCTAATCCCATCCTTCAATGTCAAATCACACCTTCTCCTACAGAAATGATTGGCAAGCAAAATACCTTTCTTCTTTTGCCATGATGTTTGAAACAGATATGCTGTTTGTTGCTTGTGTTTGAGATGTTTCTTGGTTTCAGTAATACCTAACGCCACTTCGTCCACAGCAACATCGTACAAACTACAACTGTTCCCATCTCAACTGAAGGTATGGAACTTCATTGTACTGTTAAAGTCTACTGTATATTGAAAGCGTGAGGGAAGGATCCATTTTTAGAACTCATTGTCAAAGCAATCAAGTAAAAGGTATTATATCAACTGCCCTATGCTACAATGTTCTAAGAAATAATGTAACTCCAAGGCTCTACACTAAACTCATTATAAGATCCTGCTGCATTCAGGATCTGTTGTTTTGTTACTGGAAACTTTGATATAAAAGCAAGTGACAGCTCAAAAAAAAAAATAAAAATCAATGTTTGCAAGTTATTTTGACATGTTGACGCATTTAAAATGCAATGACGATCTATTTTGAAAGTGGACAGATAAACACTCTAAAAATGCTACAATTACAATTTGCAAGCATGCAACTATTTGCTGAAAACTTTTTTTTTTTAAATTTATTTTTAAATAACCTAAGTTATTTTTCATTGACAAAAATCTGAAGAGCATCTAGTAAGGAATACTGCTAAAGTTTTAACATGCAGCAACCAGCTACTTCAGAGTTTGTGCAGTTCACTGTCCCCTTGGCTCCCTTTAGCATCTAATTAAGGCCTCTTCATCTTGTTGCCATATGGGCTATTACGACCATAAGTAAGGTATAGGTTTCATTACCTTCGTGTATCTGCTATAATACGCTAGGGCTAGAAGTGAGGAAAAAGAGTGATTCCTCTTATGGAATAGCATTTTTTGAGATACAAAGTAAATACTGGACAGAACGTGACTGACTACCTAAACCTGTATTCTCCTAAGAATTGACAGAACTCTATTGGATGTACATAGCAGGATTCAGGCGAAGACCTGATATGAGACAACTTCTGAAGCATTTTGACAATTGGAAATGAGAGTAGAGAGATACTGACCTACATGTGGAAGAATTTGCTTTAGAACAGCAATGGAGCTTAGCTCCATCAAGGCCTGTTGAAGGTGGAGGGTGCACAGTGACTCCTGGGTGAACAGATCTTGAACTCTCAAGAAAACATTGCCAAAGTGGATCCTGAGGGAGAGGCATTGTTTTACAGCCTTCTATAAGTCCATCAACAATTTCAAGCTCTGTTTTCATTGACATTAGAATTCTTTTACAAGCAGTCTGACACGCATAGTCTTCTGCTCTATCACAGCAATACAAGCCTGGTAAAAAATTTAAAAATAGTTAACGATCAAGCATACAACAACCACCAAGATGCATGGCATAACAGCCCTCAGAGTAAAAGTGGTATAAGAAGGCTTATACCCCCCCAGATAATCTCAAATAACGTTGCTTCTTTTAAATGCAAACAGAATCAACTACGGAAGAAAACCACCAACACATGGAATTACATAAATAAAAATAAATAACGTACCTACAACTAAAAGTTGTCATTATATAAATTCATATATTACAATGATAATATAGAAATACATTAATACAGATTATACAATAGACTTATACAATAACACACTTTTATATATAAAGTGGATACAATCCTCAAACATTTTCAGTATTTTTTATAACTTTCAGTAAAGATGGATTTTTTATACTTACTATCCGTAGGATTTCTCATTGGATATGACTGTGTATAGTTGTTCACACAGTGTATAAGCTGAGGGCTAATAGATGCACAGTAATTTTCAACTGCTTTAATTTGTGAAGGACCAGGAGAAGAATCTGTCCGAAAAATTGCTTGACAATATTCCCGACAGTTCGTATGATGACCTGCATAACTGCAACAGACTGACCCCACTGGGGAAACAAACAAACAAAAGAAAATCTATGGGTTTCTACACAGAGAAATGAAAAAATGAGCATGTCTGTACCACAGACAGTAATGCTCAAGGCATTACTGTAAGAAAAAAAAAAAGAAGAAATTCTTCTATGCTCTACTAAAATAATCTCTGTCTATAGAATGACTGGGAATATCTGTAACTAGCCAAATTACATTTGTCTGGCTGGCTGGAAAAAATAAGTCCTTAAAGCCATCTTGAACTCAATTTTAGTTTCAGCTGGTTTGTTCTTATTTAATGTAAACAGACTTGTCCTGTAATTGAATTATTAGACAAGTATTTGTTTACAATTAATATGAGTAGTATCCTAAGACTCATTCAAAAAAATAGATAGATGGTATCGTGATTCACCCATTTTTGTTATGTTACTAAATATACAGTTCTTGAGAAATACTTTTACTAGAACTACTTCTGAGACACTGATTTCATTTTATATAGACAGACATCAGGCAACAAAACACTTGCATGGTGCATGATTTCATCTGTGTATTTAATTTTGTTACTTAACACTCAAACGAACAAAGCAGAAGGAAAAAATTAGCTTCTAAGCAATCATCAAAATAGGACCAAAAAACCCCCAAATTCAGATATACAAATTAAAAACGGATATAAATTATATGAACAGCCCAATCCCCTTATCACTTGAGCAAGAAAATTTATGCATGTATTTTGTTCTTCTATGGAACTGAATTCACACAATTTATGTATATGTACATCCACAGAATTTCTTACATTTTAGAGAAAAGATAGAATGAAATGAGAGAAAAACAAAAAAGACAAACTATTCATTACATACTTACTTTCATTTCTGTTAATACAACTAAAGAGAGCATTCTGAAATCAAAACAAAAATAGTGTTACAAGCCAGAAAACTTAAAAAAATTGTGTCCAGTAATTTCTTGTAATGAGCTAATAAATCTAACTTATTGTTTCAATTAGATTGGATTAAAACAAAAACACTATACAAAACCACCAAAAGTAGTAAATTAAAAGATAAGAAGTCACTCAAATTCTGTGTGCACTTATAATAAAATACATAAACATTCAAGCAAGTAAATAGGAAGACCTTCTTGGACTAACTTAAAACCAGCACGCTATAATAGGATGTCCCAATTTTATTTTTTTTTTATTACCATAATTGTAAAGGCTACGTGGAAAAAAAGAACTGTGCACAGATGCACACACGCAAATAGAAAATCTCAACAAACTAACTCAACAACAATATATCTTAAAAACTAAAGCATGCTATCAACTCCTTCAAACTGCAGCCAAAAGGTACAGCTGGGGGATATAGAACATGTTAAATGACAGAAGAAGGGAAACACATACACCCTACTGTTTTGTTTCAGAGGACTCTAATCGACAAAGCAATCACAGAATCATAGAATAGTTTGGGTTGGAAGGGACATTTAAAGGTCATGTAGTCCAACCCCCCTGCAATGAGCAGGGACACCTTCAACTAGATCAGGTTGCTCAGAGCCCCATCCAACCTCACCTTGAATGTTTCCAGGATGGGGCATCTACCACCTCTCTGGGCAACCTGTGCCAGTGTTTCACCACCCTCATCATAAAAAAAAATAAAAAATTCTTCCTTATATCTAGTCTGAATCTTCCCTCTTTTGGTTTAAAACCATAACCCCTTGTCCTATTGCAACAAGCCCTACTAAAAAGTCTGCCCCCATCTTTCTTCTAGGTCCCCTTTAAATATTGAAAGGCCGCAAAACGGTCTTTCTGGAGTCTTCTCTTCTCCAGGCTGAACTACCCCAACTCTCTCAGCCTGTCCTCACAAGAGAGGTGCTCCAGCCCTCAGATCATTTTCGTGGCCCTCCTTTGGACCCACTCCAACAGGTCCGTGTCTTTCCTGTGCTGAGGGCCCCAGAGCTGGAGGCAGTACTCCAGGTGGGGTCTCACCAGGGCATAGTATAAGGGCAGAATCACCTCCCTCAAGACTATTGAACTCTTACCCAAAAGATCCACAGTCTTCTCCACACTGAAAAAGCACATTTCTTCTTAAAAAAAATAGATATCACGTATAAACTTTCCAGAACTCCATCAAAAGATGAAGTCATGAGTTTGAAATTCCAAAATGTTACCAATTATCAAAGACTTTAAAATTATATGATTGTGAAAAAAAATAGAAATCTGAACCCCCTCCACACATCAGAACACGAGATTCTAAGAAGGGATCAAATACATCAACATAGTGACAAAACACAATCCCCATCTTCATAAAGTTCCTGATCTCCTTCATTTCCCCTATCCCCATCATTAAACAAATTTGTATTTTACATAGCATCTAGAGAAGAAAACAGAAACACCATCATACTGATCCACAAACATTATTGTGGGATTAAAATCTCACTTCAGTACAGCAAAATATCAGATGTACTACTACCTCTACATAAGAAAAGGAAGAGACCTCAAAATACAGACCTAACTTAAGATGGGTAGTTCACTAGATTCTTCACCTCTATTAGTTACTAGTATTTACTGCACTTCTTTGATACTACAATCTTTGGGGTATTTTGGTGAAAATTTGTACTGCTGCAAACAGATGGAAGCATTACATTTTTACAGTAAAGAAAATACAAATGTGTTAGGAATCATCTTTATGTTTTTATTTTTCTTTTTGTCTTACAGATTTTTAGAGACCAGGAGTTTGTTTTTCAATTCACATTCTCTACTTGCTTTCTTCTCAGAGATCATTTGAGTCAATCTGTTTTGGCAGCATCCTTATTCTCCCCTATACAGTCTAGGTAGGATTACAGAGAAAAGCAAAGTAAACATCAAAGCGATCAAATCTCCCAGTGGCTAACTCATAAAAATACCAGTAACTACAACATCTGAACGCTGAGCATTTCCTCTCAAGCAATTGCTCATGTTCTGTTATGCTGAACAGGGTAAATACAGAACATAGCTCTGTTCACAGGAGCGGCACAAACAGGCAGTCTCATTTCTACTAGACAGCTTCGGTATATAACCTACACTTGCTGCACCCTTTCCCTTACCTACACACCTTCAGAGGCATCTTAGATCCCGACACCACATCAGTAGATATTACAGAGCTCCAACAATTCATTGAAGTGCTAGTCATTAAGCACATGTATTCCACTAGAGAACTGGAGAATTCTACAACCTGACTTTCCCTTTTTAAAATATTTTTTTCCTCCTTAGCCGAGCAAAACCATGATTCTTTTTTAAATGTTGTTTGTCTTTTTCATAGCTATCTTCATCCTCTTTCTTGTTGTTCATTTAAGAGGAACCACTTCAGAATACAGATTGACTCTTTATGTGTTAATTAGCATTCAGATGAATTAGCATGCCTGCATAGACAGTTCTGATGAAAATCTGAAGAGCCAAAAGAATTATTTACTGTACAAAAAAAGATGGAAGACTCACATTTCAACTTAGTTTTGAAAAACCTCAAGCCTTGATGTTTTGGTTTGTATCATGCCATTAATGATTTTATTTTGTAATGTAATTTAAATCACAGGTTCCAACTTGCCAATTAATCTTTATGCCATGTAAATCATAGTGCCACAATCTTGTATTCTACAGTATTACAATTATATCATCTTTTGGATAATATATTTTTGGGTAGTGAAATATGTTAACAGTCAAACGCAAGATTTTAGAGGACCATCCCAATATTGTACTAAGCATCATCACAATTTACAGTCAGAAATTAATATAAACCATGGTAGATGTGGCACTGCAATAATTATCCTAAGAGAATAAACACTAATCTAACTTGAAAATGTAAGTTAGTTTTTCATGAACTTACAATTTTAGTGGTCATGAATGAAAGCACAAATCTTTTGAGAACACTTCACACAAAAATTCAAAAGTCCGCCTTACATAAGACAACATCCAAAAACCTCACAAAGTAACAATAAAACCTCACAAAGTAACAATTCAGACATTTTATTTTCATTCTTCTGATATCCTCTACCAAATTTTAGATCTTTTCTCCCAAAAGCACTGACTCTGCATAATTTCTCTGAGACTGAGAATGAATTTGCAGCAATGGTCCTCATCCCAGCAGCAAGTTTTCATCTGATTCACTTCAGATTTTCCCTCTTTACTACCCACAAAGCAAATCCTGTCACTCATTCATCTGTGTAACACGGACGGGGGACAAGAGAACTCATGGGAACAGAACATGCAGACAGAGTCACCATCCCACATGTGTGAAAAACAGATTTATACTGTTGCCTTAAGGCTCACGTCATTTTTATAGCACCGTACATCCTTCTATATGGGTCCCTGACATTGGTTATCAGAAAGTCACTGTTTCAGTGTGGCCACCTTCTTTGGGACCCTCCATGTATGAAAAAGAACCAACTGTCAGATAGAAATTGCCATACACAAGATCACTCTGACCCAAAACTGACTGTCTTCAGAGGCTGCCGAAATGAGACCCCTCCACACGCACCCTGTATCAAGCACTGGAACACGGCATAACAAACCACCCAGGTAGAAAGCAACATTATAACTTTATTAATTAATGCACTGGGACAATAGGGGCTCCTGAAAAGGCAGAAGTTTGTCTGTCATGGTTATACCTAAGTATTTGACCATAGCACAAACAGTACTTCGAATCATAATGCAATGCTGCTATAAACTTGGCTAAAAATTGTCACGTTATTTAAAAGCTGAATGTTACAAAGATGCTTATTAAAAAGCAGTTCAGGGACAACAGTGTCACTGGCCCCGTTAGCTCAGACTGCAGTTTATAACTACACACAAAACAGAGAGGAACGTTGAGAAGATTAAGGTGTCTATCAATATTCCTCCTCTAAAGAAGGACTCAAGCTGAGACAAAATTATCTTCTTACAGCAATTTTACACACCAATTTTATACAGGCAGGATGCCCTAACCCAATAATAAATCTTCTTTCTGTACTTTGAAAGTATAGTTCCACAGACTGCTGAACGACTGTAATAATGCTCATATTTCTGTTAAGAGGAGGTGGTCTTACTTCTCTTTTCCACCTTGTTTTCAGCTCTTCTCTCCCTGCTCCCAGTTGTATAGTCTTATTATACCCTTACACCAGCTCTAGCACTAATTATCTTCTCATGACCTGATTCTTCTCAGTAACCCTGCTGAAAACTTCTTTTTCTCATCTCCTAGGAATTTAAATCAGCAATTTCAACAGGTATCATACCAAGTTAGAATAGAAGAGTCTTTTAGATGTCATCTTTTAGATATTTTATGAAACTGTAGTGCCTGTAGCCACCACAGAATACAGTGCTAGTTAAGGTGCTGACTTTGCTCTTTGTGCGGGTCTGGGTAATTGTTCAGTTTCCCAGAAAGTACAAGTACACATGTGGGGAGTGTAGTTATAGACATGAGAGAATCTGAAAAAAAAAAATATATTAGAGTGTAGTCACCTGCTCATAAATACCAGCATTACACAGTCAGCCTGATTTGAATTACTAACCATAATTTCATTACAGAACACCAGGTTAATGCCCATCTCTAGTAAAGCAGCGCTCATTTAAGAAATTAGCAGCTTTTCTGGCCACTCAAGCTTACTTCTGAATCTGCTAGTCAACTTTCAGAAGAGAAAGAGAGAGAAAACAAAGCAAAACAAAACAAGAAAAAACCCACAAAAACCCAAAAGAGCAGAAAAGGATGTTTCCTTTAAACGAAGAACTAAGTCATCAAGATCTGGGAAAATGAGGATAAAATGGCAATACTGTGTACACACACAGAGTCTGATACTCCATTTTCAACTTGTGAATAAACTATTAAGTGAACAAAGATGGCAATATTGAAATTTATAACACAGAACCATGATGATTTTACTTGTGCATTAATCTCATCTTTCAGAGTTCTTTTTTTTTTAAAACCAAATGTTGCTGAAACTGGTGGTTAAAGCCACTAAGACTATAAGCAGAAGGAATGGAAAGTGACAGGCAGCCACAGGCAACGCAACCGTGTACACCTTAAAGAAAACAGTCTCAAAGATCTTTTGGTGTTATGGAAATTGAAAAAGGCAACTGAAGTATATCCAGCAGAGAACATTGTCCAGTCTTCCTCACCAGAAGCTCTCTGAAGAAAGATTTTAGCCAGTACTGCAGGACCTAACTGGTTTCGCTCTTTTTGGAGCTCATCAGCTGCAGGTAACGGCTCAAAAACCAAAATCCATGCACACAAACACAAATAGAGCAGAACATTTTTCTAAAGGAAGACACCTTCTTCATTGTAAGGCATGCTTTTATATTATAAGCACATTTTTTCTAAATGGCTGCCTTGAGTCTTGAATGAAAAGTGATAGTGAAGCTGTTCTTTCACACTAGAAATTAACAGTATTTTGCTAAAAATCAAAGATTATTTTCCTCCCTAAAAATTATCATGGTATCTGTATTCTACTAACTCTGGCAGAAAAATAAGTTAAGTACTGTTGTCTTGGGCAACATAACCACGTTAAATATTTGAATATAGATCCTACCCAATTAAGGCCATCTTAATTTAGAAGTATTACCTACAGTTAACAAATACACTGGGAAACAAAATGTTTCACTCTATGAGAACAGCAATGAAAGTCCTGTTAACCTCTCCTTGACTTCATTTAATCTTCGAATTCGTTAACAGAAGATAAAGTCAGAAGGTAACATACTAAGGTTTAGTGGAGTCAGCTGAAGTTTCAGATGATGGTGCACATCTGTTAAGAACTTTAAAAGCTGCAGTTACTAAGAAGTAAAGAAAAGATCTTCATAAATTACGTAAACCAGTGAAAAAGTGAGAACACCTGCATAGTAAGGTAGAACAAAATCACTGGAACTTAGATTTTGGCAAGACCACTGAGTGTTCTATCAACCTTCTTTGAACAGTAGAGAATAGAGGCAAAAAGCACCAGAAGATAAGACGACAATAATATTAGCTACAATGTCTAGTATGGTCAGAGTCCACCCTGAATTCGTTAAGTAGTACTTCCAGAGGCCACACACAGCCATGTGCCTTAGGACTTCATTAAAACTGTTTTGGAAGCTTTTCCTAAACAATGTCCTAAACAGCTCCTTGAGTTATGATCTATTGTGTCTGAGTAAGCCACACAAACAACTAGATAAGAGGTAAAAACTGCTGACTGCATTTTTTCAGAAGGCGTAATTAGGAGTCAGCGCTCACCAAAACCTCAACATAAAGAAGGATCATATGAGCTTAGAAAATAAAACAAGCCAATACTGTAGCTCAGTGAATACTTTTCTGAATCCCTATTACAGCACTTGAAACTGCAGGCACTGCATTTGAAGTTGTGGTATTTAAAAACTGTAAGAAAACAAAGTCAGATTAAGCTAAGTAGTGCTCAAATCTGTGAGAGCAACCTTTAAACAGTCCAAGGACGTCAAAAGTGTTTACTACTGTGTCAAAAGTACTTTTAAGAGCAGAAGCTAAATAACTGGCAACATTTCCAATTATATTTTGACTGCATGGCAGATGTTAATAGTGCTCAGTTGCAGCAAAGCTCTCGTAATGCCCATTAAGTAGAGAAGTTTGAATGTCTTATTTAGTACACGTGAAATAATAGCTGGAGTTCTTAACGTGAAGAGAGTTGAACTCACAGTATGCAGTGCAGAGACTCAAGAGCTGCAGTGTAGTGGAAATTTTAGTACTAACTTTTTCCATGCACAGAACAAAGAAGAGTTATCTTAAACACAATAATAAAGCCTTTACAGCTTATTTCAAGCTTTATAAACTATTTTCAGTTACTCTTCCAAGCATGCATTCCATGAGGTCTTTTAAAAAGAAGAACCTCAACTTTACACAAAATTTTTAAAAATAGAAAAATCAGAAAATCCTGCACAAAATCCATACAGTCTCCACTTCCTTTCTTCTTCTTCCTTTGACTATTACCTACCTTCTTTTTAGAGGAAGATGAACAGGATAGCAGAAAGCTGGAAGAAGTAGTGAAAGATAAAAGAGTTGAGATGCACAGAACTAGAGAAAAAAAGGAAGATGACAAAATGAGTATCTGAGAAGCAGAAGATGGGAAAAAGGACTATCACAATAAAATATTTCAAAAAAAGGGCAAATAAAGTACATTTTGGTAACACTCAAAAATACTCAGCAAGCTGTGTTAAATTTTTTAATTTCTGCAATACTACTTCAAAATAAAATATGTTCAATAGGACACGCAATCTTCAATGCACTGATCAAAACTGGATAGTTTATTACAACACACTTCATTTCTAAAATGTGCAAAACCTCCAAATTAGAAGAATCACAAGCTTCATAAATATTTACAGTAAAAGTAACCCAGGAA